CGCCGCGCCAGAAGGGCCCCCCCCCCCCCCCAAAAAAAAAAAAAAAAACCCTACAAAAAACAAACAACTCCCCCTCCCCAAATGTTCTAGTTTCATCCTGACATGGAACAGAAATGCTTTGGAAATCTTGAAAAGTTTTTTTTCTGAAAAACTGTTTCCCACCCAGAATACCAGACAGTTGTTAAGCTTTCCATAGGCTTCCAGAAAAAGAAGAACATTAAGATACTGTGTTTCTTCCCAAGTGCAAAGGGCAGTGCTGAAGAAAGCATTAGGGTGCCTGTTTGAGGATTTAAAAAAATGAGCAACAGGGACTAACATCACAAGCCAGTCAGAGGCATGGATCAGAGAGGTCAGGTAGGGACTGGGGGGGGGGGGGGGGGTGGGGACTTTTTTATTGGACTAACTACATAGCTGGGAGAGATCTTAGACAAGTTTTTAGCCACAATTTATTCTTCCTCAGGTCACTTGTAAATGAAAAATTGCAGCATATGTCTGATGTACAGCTATATGGATCTTGGGCATTGTCACAACTGTCAAAGCCAGGAAAACTCAGATCAAATGGCTGCAGTTTTTTTTCAGTGCTACTCTCCCTTTCCAGTGCCACCTGTGCACTGTGTTCACTTAGAGCTAGAAAGCATGTAACACACCCTTACTGACTCCAGAATCATAAAAGTTCCCCCCTCCTGTGTCCTCTTATACTTCTGTGCCTCTTTCTTGGAAAGTTTTTCTCCAACTGCATTCAGAAAAAAAATACTACTTTTTCCCCCGCTGACATCAAATAAATACATGTCACCTGGCTGGATGTGAACCTGCTTTTCTCCTTTCCAGGCTTCAGACAAGCATATTGCCAACATGCTACAGGTGTCTAGCACAAGAGCAGGTTACACAAATTGAGATGAGAAGTGCTTTGCTGCTCAACACAGCCATTTCACCATCCACCTGCCCATCTGTGAGAGCCATTCTATTTTATTTGAAGTGCTGGAGGTGTTTTAGTAGGTGTGTTTCTGTTCCACTTAAAGACCATAAAAAGGAAAGGCAAATTTAAAAAGTGTGCACAAAGGTGAGAGAACAAGGATGAAACAGTTTTGGGTCTCCCTAGAGAAAAATAGTCCATACTGCCAAAGGGCTCCAAATGCAATGAAGATCCCCAAGAGCATCTGTCTGCCCTTTTCTTTTGTATCTTAAGCACAAAGGACCAATGGGTCTGTGCCAGTATGAAGCCCACAGACACCACACTGTGATTTAAAGCAGAGCTGGTTTTATGCAGTGGCTGGAGAATAGAGTCTGACTATGAGACACCCACATGTCCCAGTCTGACATCGGCATTAGTCTGCTGAAGTCAGGAGGGTGACAGCCTGTCATGAGAATACTGGGTTGTTGTATGGCCTAATTTTGTGCACACCGTGAAGTCAGTAGGGTCATACTGGCATCAAAGTGGTTTAATGGAGTGGTGAATTAGGCATACCGAGATATTTACATGGCCCCTTTCATGTTAATGTCTGAGCACCTCATGGTCTATGGTGCATTCTTCCTCACAGCATCCCTGCAATGCAGAACAGGGTGATTATCTCCGTTTTACAGCTTGGGAAACAGACACAGGGAGACCAAGTCATTTAGGCCTAACCTAAATATCTGTAAATTGCTGGCCCTACAAGACTGGGCCAACGTCATAAAGGAA